GGAACCAAGACCAGGAGCCAGACCAGGTACCAGACCAGGAACCAGACCAGGAACCAGACCTGATGAGGAACGGGATGAGGAACGGGATGAGGAACCAAGACCAGGAGCCAGACCAGGTAACAGACCAGGAACCAGATCTGCGACCAGTTCAGGAACCAGAGCACACGGGTGAACAACGGGATGAGGAACGGGATGAGGAACGGGATGAGGAACGGGATGAGGAACGGGATGAATAACGGGATTAGGAACCAGGCTAGGAACTAGAGCCGGAACCAAGACCAGGAGCCAGACCAGGTACCAGACCAGGAACCAGACCTGCAACCAGTCACAGGAACCAGAGGGCACGGATGTACAGAGTGGAGCGCAGAAGCGGCAGCTTCAGGATCTGCCTGTGACGGCACAGGGTTTTGACGATAGGCAATCTCTCACATGTCCCTGACAAAGGACGCGGTTATTCTGTCGCACGCATTGCCTTTCCGCGCAAGAAAGTCGCACACTTTGTCCTTTGCCGCCGCCCGCAGTGTCGTTCAACACTGTTTCCCGCGGCTGCAGTAGAGTCGCACAGCTGGTCGCCCCGCGCGAGATTGTCGCACGCTTTGTCTCTCCGTGTCGGTAGGGGTTTCCACCCCGCAGCCGCCCCAGCGAGATGGTCATGTCCCGATCCGGACGCGGGTGCAATCGGACATCTAACGTGGCAATCAAGACACGGGTTGGTCATGTCCCGATCCAGACGCAGGTGCAATCGGACATCTAGCATGGCAATCGAGACACACGTGTCAGATTTCAGGCCGCTCCACCTCACCGACTTAAGAACCTCGTTGAAACTATAGAGGGCGCGCCAAGTTCTTCCAGAGGGAGGGGGGGGGAGGGGGACGGGGATTTTGCCTTACGTTGCCATGCATCCGTCAATGGTCCAATTGATCAATCAATCATCCAATCAATCAATCAATCAATCAATCAATCAATCAGTCAATCAATCAATCAATCAATGAATCCATCAATTATATGATTGATCATCCAATCAATCAATCAATCATCCGTTCGATTACCAATCACTCCATGCGCCACATGCAGACGTGCAGATAGAGCAAGGACTCTAGTCCAGACTCAGGCCACGTGGGTCTCACTGACGAGGTGGGCAAGCAATTTCCGAACCAATCAGCTTAGCAATCACAATCGGTTTGCTGATCTCGGTCAAGATCTGTCACTCTATGTCGCTCAACATTCGGTCAATCCACGTGGCAACCCTTTTCGCGCGCGCTGTACGCAAATCGGGTGAAGATGAACTGTAACGAAACACCGCTTGCGGCGCGCCCTTCCTCCCCGGCCCCCTCGTCTCCCCCCCCCCCCCCCCCCCTCTCCCCCCCCTCGCCAAATCTTGATGAACGTGTATGGAGTGTGCATGTGTATGCATGTTTGCGCATTTCCCCGTAAGTGCACGAGCGCGGGGGTGTGTGTGAGAGAGACACAGAGAGCCCGGGAGTGAGGGGGAAGGAGGCGAGAGAAGACTAGAAGAGAGGGTGAGAGACAGGGGCCCAGAAATGAGAGAGAGAGACCGAGATAACGACAGCGCGCGAAAAGGGAGGGCGTTGGGGAATAAGTGACTGAGCGGCACAGAAGTCTGTCACATATACACACACACACACACACACACACAGAGAGAGAGAGAGAGAGAGAGAGAGAGAGAGAGAG